CCCCATTGGTCAAGCAGTCTCCATTGTCTACATGCTGTCTTTGAGAAGTCCTCTGGGCTGGCCCTTTGGAGAGTGGATTCCCTTTAATGGGCCATCAGCATGTCTGGCTACTCCATTGTTGTACCTGAAAGGCTGATTGTGGGTGTTCCCAACCTCACAACATATATCAGTAACATATACAGCAATGCTTCATAACCTCACATATAATGACAGCACATACAATCTGACAGTATATTAATGTTAAACCGATCAAGACTTTTAAAATGATACCTCACAAGGCATATTTTGTACAAAACATATCCTAATTATAGGACAGTGGTGAATATGGGGGTTCCAGGGTGCCACTGTGAGATAGTGTCACAGTAGCCACCAAATCACACATCTCAAAAATCCCATAGACTGCCTAAGGGATCTGAAGGATATTGGAGTAAGAACTGCTTAAAACTTTTAGACCAAAAATCTTAGAAAAATAGGTTTTGTTGAAAACAATTTTTTTGAGGAAAAAAATAATTTTTGACAAATATTTTGCATTTTCATTTTTTAAAATGTAAACTAGATCAACATGTTCCTGCTCACAGCCTAACATTTCTTAAAGTTGTTAAACAATTCTTTAGCATAGTCTGATCTGCTTAATCAGAAACTGCAGGTAGGGTCAATACTAACAACAGTATTAGGAACTCATATTTTTTTTATTGTTGCAAACAACTAAATTATTGCTCAGAGAATAAATCTTAGTCCTCAGTGGGTTCATCATACAAATAATTATTGACCATGTGTTCCTGTAGCTCTTTTATTATCACTTTTTCTAAGATCAATGATAGCAAGTTGGAAAGTTGTCTGAAATGGATTTCACTGCTATTTGTAAACTTTTATGGCATCAAATTAATCCGTAGTGTCACTCCACTGAAGTTATTAAATAAACCCCACAAATCCAATATGTGTCCCTCCCTTTTTGTGTCAGAGAGAGCCTTGAAACATAAACCAGAGGTAACCAATCAGCAGGGTTATAAGTTTGAAACTCACATGTTATGCATGGCCCTCTTGCCGATGAAACCCGCAGCTTTAGTCTCTTCAATGTATGGAATGGCCTCAAATCAATTTGCAGCTCTGGGGGACTGGAGCCACCTGGGCTGCTGTTGATGGTGCTAGGACCACTGCAGGCCTGTTAGCCTGAGCAGCTGCTGCTGAGCCACTTTTCTAGTGAGTAGTCGTGAGTCTGCCCAAAAAATGGGCATCTCAGTATTGTGGAAGGCTGCATAGTCCCATGAACTAAGCAGGACATAAGGAAATCCCTGTCTTTTTAATACCAGATCTGATACTGACATCCTCTGTGGCCTGTGTCAGGTCACTTAATCTCTGTGCCTCAATTTTCCCATCTGTATACTGAAGATAACCTCTCAATGGTGATGTGACTACTAGTTAGTTTATGTCTGCAGAATGTTCTGTCAAAGGAAATGAGTAGTAGTATTTGTGATTCATTATTTGATTTGCTTTATTAGCTTTCCCAGTGGACGTTACAAAGATTTGGGGAACTGCAAAGAAATATCTCAGTGACACTCCCTAGACTCTTCAGGGTGGTCTTATATATAATGATTGGAACTGAGTGGCATATAAAATTATTTTACAGGCTCACATCAAAATGCCAAAATCAAGTCTGCCAAGTCTGTCCTGGATATGCCAAGGACTGTGTGGTGAAAAAAGAACAGTGCCACTGAGCAGAAGTCTGAGTCCAAGGGAGATTTTCTTCTTCTTTTTCACAGTCAGCACAAAGTTGTTTTTCAACAGTCTCAGAGCTGTTCACCCTTCTCCCATACTGTCCGTGAGCTGGCACTTACTCGGCTCATCTTCCCATGTTTGCTTGCCCCAAGAGCACCCAAGACATTTTAGAGACTTTTAGGTCAGAAGAGACCATTATGATTGTCTAGTCTGACCTCCTGCACAACGCAGGCCACAGAATCTCACCCACTCACTCCTGTAATAAGCCCCTGACCTACGTCTGAGCTATTGAAGTCCTCAAATCATGGTTTAAAGACTTCAAGGTGCAGAGAATCCTCCAGCAAGTGAGCCGGGCCCTACGCTGCAGAGGAAGACGAAAACCTCCCAGGGCCTCTGCCAATTTGCCCTGGAGGAAAATTCCTTCCCGACCCCAAATATGGCCATCAGCTAAACCCCGAGCATGTGGGCAAGACTCACCAGCCAGACACCCAGGAAAGACATCTGTAGAAACTCAGATCCCACCCTATCTAACATTCCATCACAGGCCATTGGGCATATTTACTGCTAATAGTCAAAGATCAATTAATTACCAAAATTAGGCTATCCCATCATATCATCCCCTCCATAAACTTATCAAGCTTAGTCCTGAAGCCATATGTGTCTTTTGCCCCCACTGCTCCCCTTGGAAGGCTGTTCCGGAACTTCACTCCTCTGAGGGTTAGAAACCTTCGTCTAATTTCAAGTCTAAACTTCCTGATGGCCAGTTTATATCCATTTGTTCTTGTGTCCACATTAGTACTGAGCTTAAATAATTCCTCTCCCTCCCTGTTGTTTATCTCTCTGATATATTTATAAAGAGCAATCATATCTCCCCTCAGACTTCTTTTGGTTAGGCTAAACAAGCCAAGTTCTTTAAGTCTCCTTTCATAAGACTGGTTTTCCATTCCTCGGATCATCCTAGTAGCCCTTCTCTGTACCTGTTCCAGTTTGAATTCATCCTTCTTAAACATGGGAGACGAGAATTGTACTCAGTATTCCAGATGAGGTCTCACCCAGGGCCGGCTTTAGGAAGTGCGGGGCCCGATTCGATGGGGCCCCGGCAGGGATGACTCAGCTGGCGGTGCTCCGGGTCTTCCGCGGCACTGAAGGACCCGCCGCCGAAGACCCGGTAGGGAACCGCCCGGTGAGTACATCTCCCCCTATCCGACCCCCCCCCAGGTCCTGCCCCCGACTGCCCCCCTCAGAAACCGCAACCCATCACCCCCCCACTCCTTGTCACCTGACCACTCCTTCCCAAGACCCTCCACCCTAACTGCCCCCCAGGACCCCACCCCCTACCCAACTCGCTCTGCTCCTTGTCCCCTGACTGCCCCGACCCCATCCACCACCACCCCGACAGACCCCCGGAACTCCCACGCCTACCCACCCCCCATTCCCCATCCCCTGACTGCCCCCCCAGAACCTCTGCCCGATCCAACCCCCCCCCCCACTCCCTGTCCCGGGGACTCCCTGCCCCTGCCTTATTCAACCCCCCCCGGCCCTGGTCTCTTACCATGCTGCTTACCCCCGCCGGAGCCGGGCCGGAGCCGTGCCACCCGGAGCCGGAGCTGCCCCGCCCGGCCAGAGTCGGGGCCGGGGCCCGGCCAGAGCCGGAGCCGCAGGGCCAAGGCCGGGCCAGAGCCGGAGCCGCGGGGCCAGGGCCGGGCCGGCGCCGGAGCCGCGGGGCCAGGCTGGAGGGAGCCGCTCGGCCGGAGCCGGACTGGGCCGCGCCGCGCCTCCCTAGAGCCCTCCTTGCGCCCCCCCGCCCCAGCTTACCTGCCGCTGCTTGTTTCCAGGCTTCCCGCGTGAACATCTGATTCGCGGGAAGCAGGGGAGGGGGAGGACAAGGGGGCGGAGCGTTCAGGGGAGGAGGGGGAGGTGAGGTGAGCTGGGGCTGGGGGCGGGGCGGACAGCTGCCAGAGCTTGGGAACCGGCTCCAGCTCACTACTGGGCGCGGGGCCCGATTCAGGGGAATCGGAGGAATCGGCCCAAAGCCGGCCCTGGTCTCACCAGTGCCTTGTATAACGATACTAACAGCTCCTTATCTCTACTGGAAATACCTTGCCTGATGCATCCCAAGACCGCATTCGCTTTTTTCACAGCCATATCACATTGGCGGCTCATAGTCACACTGTGATCAACCAATACTCCGAGGTCATTCTCCTCCTCTGTTACTTCCAACTGATGAGTCCCCAGCTTATAACAAAAATTCTTGTTATTAATCTGTAAATGCATGACCTTGCACTTTTCACTATTAAATTTCATCCTATTACTATTACTCCAGTTTACAAGGTCATCCAGATCTTCCTGTATGATATCCCGGTCCTTCTCTGTATTTGCAATAACTCCCAGCTTTGTGTCATCCACAAACTTTATTAGCACATTCCCACTTTGTGTGCCATTTGGCTGACTTCCTCATGATAGCTGCTGACAAAGCATGTATCACCAACTAGCTCTGTACATGAAACAGGTTTTGAAGTGTCCACAAACCTTTAGAGCTGGATTCTCTGTCGGCTAAGTTCGTGTTACACTGCTTATACAACCCAAAGTGAAGTTAAACTAGTGGAGAAACCCCCGTGGAAAATCTCCAGTCTGTGTAAAGCTGGCAGAGGTGGCTAGGCTGCCTACTGCACCTATGCTACCACCTCCCTCCTGCATCTGAACTGCCCAGCGCAAGATGGGGAGGAGGCATGTTGGGAACAGGAAGGAGGCATTCAGGGCTGGGGTATGGTAGAGCAAGGCTCCGCTACAGCAGATGCTCTGCTGATAGAATGTCTCCCATCAGTGGAGCACATTGAAGCTGGCCCCTGCAGGTTAAGGTTACACCAGGGTTGCAAGAGCAGGATCGGTGTGTCCCAGCTGGGTTCCTGTCAGGACTCCCTTTCCACTGTGCTCAGTCAAGTTAAAATTGGTCAAGATTTTAAGAAAAAAGATTAAGAAAAATGTGAACTTAAGAGAGCAGAAAACAAGATAGGCAGCCATCTCCGGTGAATGTAACGCGGATCAGTGTGTTATAAACACCATGTACAGTAGTCTGATCCAGTGGCAAAGGATCTTGGTCAATCGTAAGTAGCTTCATATGAGTCTATTATAATTTGTCTTTGTTCTTGAACACTGGTGACATGAGTTTCTCCCCCTCCCTACCCCAATGCCCTTTCCCAAGTATTAAAGCAGATTCTCCATGGCTTTCCATCCATTATGAAGCAAGTTCAGATGGTTGTTTTTTGTTTTCATTTCTCCTGCAGGTGAATGGCATTGATCTTCGGGGTGCCACCCATGAGCAGGCTGCAGCTGCACTGAAAGGAGCAGGGCAGATAGTAACAATCGTAGCACAATACCAGCCGGAAGGTAAGTCAATGCACTGATTTACTGTCCAATTAAGAAGTGCTGTTGGGTTTCATCTGATGCTCTTTGGCTGGAAGAATGTCATCTACCTTGCAAGACTTCAAGAATAGGAAAAGCAATAAAATTGGGGAAAAGTGGAGATAAGAATCATACAGAATAAAACGGTGGTGGTTTGGCACCCTGTGTGTGATGACTTATGTGGTCTTATTCCACTGCCTGGTGGATGAAGAGATGTCCTCCTCACACTAACTGTCCTCAAATGTGGCGCTCATGGGACCTCTTGCTGATAATCTCAGGGATACCAAGGGCTGAATAGACATAGAGAGTGAAGTACCTTTTCACCCTTAGAAAGTGGTCCCTCCGTGTGAGAACTGAGACACACTGGTAGGCCAGTTGTACTTCCGTGCTGTACCTTTTCGGTGGCTAAACTGAGGACTTCAGTCACCAGGCTTTGTCAAGCTGCCACTTTTCATAAATAATAAATTCTCACTCACTCCCTTTCTCATGCTCTGACTCAGACTCCCCCACCCCAACTTAAAATTAAAACAGAAAACGTGCAATTAAGACAGATACTATGGAAAGAGATGAGGTAAGGAGAAAAAGATAGGAGAATTAGAAGCAAACAAAATTTCAAATATTATACTTTATTACATACATGAAATAATTGTTTTAGTGTGTGATTGTATATATATATAGAGATATAGAAAAATTTCAGATCAAGGAAGAAGGGGTACAAATAATTGTATTACAGAAAGTTCTTGACAGAAGATTTTGAATGAAATGTTAGTCCAATGTATTCTTGGTTCCCATTATTTGCTGCTGTCTTGTTTATCTTTTCCAGTTTAATAGGAACATAAATATCAATTTAGACTGTTATTACAGAAAGTCGCAAGTAAAATTGCAGCTCTTGATTTTTTGGATGGTAAACAATAGTGCATAATGTGCCAGCTTTTTGAGCAGCCAGCTGATGATCGGCAATTAAAATGGAGGAAAGAGTTAATGGTTCAATAAGTTACTATTCATGTGGTAAAGAAAAGAGCATAAAATACATAGCTGTTGCGATATTATAAACTGACCCTCTAACCTACAGTTGCAGTGCAAAGGAAAAGAGGAGGTAATAGTGGTGAATGGATTCAAAGTTCTCGCTTGGTTTGCTTTGAGCATCCAAATGTTTATCTGAACCTTATATGAACTCTGAAGCATTTTTGAGTATGTAGAGTTGCCTGGAAATCTTATGTAAGTGGGTTCTATTGCAAGATTTCTAGAGCTTGCCATCAGGCTGAATAGCTTTTCTCTTGTTATTAAGGCATTTTCACTTCTCATCTTGCCTGGAACTAGGAAATGCAGAGGCTAGCAAAAATAAAACATGTTTTGGTGGGTAAACAGGAGAGCATTCCATTTCCCCAACCCTTCTCCTCTTTCTTGGTCTTTCTTACACACACGCGCCTTTTTTATTTCCCTTACCTCTCTGAAACAGAAATAGACAAATTGGTATGGGACAAAGTTATAAAGATGGAAGATAAAAGCAGAGTGGGGAGGGAAGAAGAAGAAAAGTGAGGATAGAATTGGAACTAAAAATACAAGAAATAAAAAGGTGAGGTGGGCCATCTAGAATTGGGTTACATTTTTGGATCAATGGTTTATTTGCTAAAAAATGCAGTTTTGGTCAACCCAAAGCTATCGCAAATTTGACCTGAAAAACCATCCAGTTTTCCAGATCAGATGCTGCCCTTGGGAATGCAGTCTTGTTTCAGTCTTGGACTCGGCTCTGAAGCCTCCCCCTCCAGCTGCAGGTACTGCTCAGTAGTGCACCCATAGGAGCACTACTTGAAGAAGGAGAGGTTACTCACCTTGTGCAGTAACTGGAGTTCTCTGAGGTGTCTCCCCCTATGGGTGCTCTACTATCCCCTCTCCTTCCCCTCTGCTTCCAGTTTCCTCTGTGGAACTTTGCAGAGGAGAAGGAACTGAGGACAGGTCACCTGCCCGACCCTATATAGCCTTGGTGTGGAGCATGAGGTTGTGTAGGGCACCTGCGTCGGCCAAATGTGCACTGCTACTGAAAATCTCCAGTGGAAGATGCATGGGGTGCATGTGATGTGGAGAACCTGCAGGGAGACGCATCTCAAAGAACTGCAGTTACTGTACAAGGTAGTAACATCTCCTTCAGGTAGGATAAGAAGTAATAGGCTTAATCCACAGCAAGGGAAATTTAAGTTAGATGTTAGGTAAAACTTTCCTACTGTAAGGGTAGTTGAGCTCTGGACTAGGCTTCCAAGGGAGGCTGGGGAATCACCATCATTGGAGGGTTTTAAGAACAGGTTGAAGAAACACCTTTCAGGGATGGTCTAGGTTTACTTGGTCCGCCAGTGTAGGGGCTGGACTTGATGTCTTCCTGAGGTCCCTTCCAGCCTTACATTTCTATAATTCTATGATCCATAATGATTACTGCAGCTCCAGTTCAGCTGGATATTTCAACACCTGCCTAGCATTAAGCAGAAGAGCAGTCCCATTGACTTCAATGAGACTACTCGTGTACTCAACTGCTAGTTGAAGGTAAAGAAATGAATACAAGCGATTAAAAACTTGTCGATCAAAAAGATGAGGGGGGCCCACTCACTGATATTTTATCCATGCTTTCACATTGATAACCATACTCATGGAAACATTTTTGCTTGCCCTCACTTTTTTCCTGAATAGCAATCTTTTCAAACTCCTTTTAAAGCCAGTTAGTGCCTTCGTAAAAATGCACAGCCAGCAAGGAGCCAGGCATCCTCTTCTGCAGCATGGACTTACTTGGTACGTCCTGAGTAGCTATTGTAAGATGAGGCACATCTTAAAAGGGCATGGCCATGTGCGTGTTCAATGGCTCTCTTTAAGAAGTCAGCATTCACCCACAGTTGTCCTATTGGGAGTAAAGGAAATATCTTCAGCATTTCAAATTCCATTGGATAGTATGTATTCCCATTTTAGTGGTGATGGTGGTGCTGCAGTACAGTAAGGAAGGAGTTACGGTAAAATTCTGTGGCCCGTGTAACTGTTACAGTTTGAAAGGAAGGGGAACCATGCTTTAAATATAGACAACTCATCCTGAATGGAGGAGAGGTGGGGGAAGAAAATATTGGCCTCTAGGTTGGGAACACTAAGGGTATGTCCACACAGCAACTAGACACCCACAGCTGGCCCATACCAGCTGACTCAGGCTTGCAGGGCTCAGGCTGTGGGGCTGTTTCATTGCTGTGTAGACTTATGGGCGTGGGCTGGAGCCTGAGCTCTGGGACCCCCTCACCTTGCAGGATCCAAGAGCCCAAGCCCATAAATCTACACAGCAGTGAAACAGCCCGAGCCTCGCGTGCCTGAGTCAGCTGGCACAGGCCAGCCGCGCGTGTCGAGTTGTTGTGTAGACATCCCCTAAGAGATAAATTCCACATTCTACTCTCAGCTGCACCCATTCATCCCCAGTACAGGGCTGTAAACAGAATTTCATCCTCAGATTTTTGCAAAATATTCAGTGTCAGTAGTCTGGAAACTCTGTGCTGTGCTGCATTGCAGTATCTCTGCAGCTGTTCCCTCACAGCAATCCCTGGGAAAACCATTAAGCCAGTCAGCTGTTCCGTGTGCTATAAATCTTTCAAGCAAATCAATTAACACCTTACTGTAGCAACATGTATGAAGGGAAGACATTCATTAATTACAACTTGATTAGACCAATTGACGCCGAAGGGGCCAAAAAGTTGTTAAAATGAGTACATTTGCACTCTATCCCTATTTGCATTGTTAGCTGCTTGTTGGCACAAATACAGCACTATACATTTTTGAGGAAAGCTGAGTATGTTGAGTAGTAATTGACTATCTGAGTTTTGGTGAGAATGGGAATCTCAGAGACAGCTATCCTCTCTGATACACTTGTATCTTTATTTGCTGATGTTAGCAATGGTAGTTATTAGAGCTATAATTGTAGTTAAAAGCATCTTAAAATAGTGAAACAGATAATTCCTGTTTGTAGTTCCTTTTTCTCTGAAGTTTGGAGTTCATGTTAAGTATTATTACAGACACCACTTTTTTGCCTGTTCACATGTGACCTGCATCAGCTTTTATAGGAGTCCCTTCTTTGTCTTACATCTGTGTCTGAATTGTAGGTGGGGTGGGGAGGGAGAAATCTTATGTTTTTAAAATACTAGACTACAATTTCTAAGCACCACTGTTGTACTTTCCTTATGGAATGACTTCTGGGTTACTTCTTATCCCCCACTATTACCGCCTACTTGCTACCTCAAAAATGTAAATGCATGTCTTGATGAGTCTGCTGTTTTGGTATAATTTTAATGCATATGCATGATTCACACATCTAGCCCTTCTGGATGCTACAGAAATAAGGTAGATATAAAATACACTGCAAATGTAAATGGCTTTATCTATACATCTGTGGCAAGCTGTCTTGATATACATTTAAATATACATACACACATACTCGGGATCTTTTCTGTAGTTGATATAAATTGGTGTCGCTCCATTGACTTTGATGGAGTTACACTAATATATGCCGCTGAGGATCTGGGCCCTCAGCATCTTGGTGCCTCTGTGTGTGCATGTCTGCTCAGAGAATCCGGAGTACAAAGACTGTGTGTCACGCATACACTTTTAAAGTGTATTTTATGTGTGTGTGTGGGAAAAGAGTATATATGAACACGTGTATATGGGGAAGGAGGCATAAACACCCCCTCTTCATCCTCGGTGTTCATCTGGCTGGCTGGAGAATGCCAGCATTGTAAAGTCAGTAACAGTAAAAACGTTTAGAATCATTTTTAACTGATTGCCTGGCTCCTGGAGCTGAGTGGGAGATTTCACTGGCTGAAAAATCCAATGTATTTTTGATTAGGAGAATAATTTAGAAAGAAGGGATGATGCAGATGAGACAAACAGGTTCCATGCATCATAATGGGACATTGGTGCATATATTGAGTGACCAAGATGTTCTGAATTAAAGTTGAATTCCCATTCTATTG